TGTCTACTTGTCTACTTGTCTACTTGTCTACTTGTCTAATTGTCTACTTGTCTACTTGTCTTCTTATCTACTTTTCTAGTTATCTAAATTATTAGCAATAAATTTGAAATAATATTTCTTGTTGCAGGGTGGAGCAAATCAAGAAAAAGATGAGGGTGTCAAGGAATGGAGAGAGGGAAAAGATTGGAGGGAAGGAAAGGATTGGAGGGAAGGGAAAGAATGGAGGGAGGGGAAAGAATGGAGGGAGGGGAAGGAATGGAGGGAGGAAAAAGAAAACCATGATATCTCTGAGAATAATAATTCAACGGATAAAAACAAGGAAATTATTTTAAAGATATCTAAACTCGGTTTTGTTCTACAACAGTGTCAAAAGTTCTATTCCCTTTCCATCGTGTAAAAAAAGTGGACTCAAAACTAAAATTTTTGATTTAGTATGAACAATTTAAAATAAAATAATTTTTTATTAGAACTCCTCGCTTACCCCTGACATTGATGTCATTCAGCAAACTCTGTATACACAAGGTAATTGCAGTACACTTTATTACATGGATTATTGCAGTACACTTTAATACAGTGGTAATTGTAGTACACTTAATACAGGGATTATTGCAGTACACTTTAGTACATAGGTTATTGTAGTACACTTAATACAGGTATTATTGCAGTACACTTTTATACAGTGGTTTTTGTAGTACACTTAATACAGGGATTATTGTAGTACACCTTAATACAGTGGTTATTGAAGTACAATTAATACAGGGATTATTGCAGTACACTTAATGCAAAGATTATTGCAGTTCACTTAATACAGGAATTATTGCAGTACACTTTAATGCAGTGGTTATTGCAGTACACTTTAGTACATGGATTATTGTAGTACACTTATACAGGGATCATTGCAGTACACATTAATACAGTGGCTATTGTAGTACACTTAATACAGGGATTATTGCAGTACACTTTAATACAGCCGTTATTTAAGTACACTTAATTCAAGGATTATTGCCGTTCACTTAATACAGGAATTATTGCAGTACACTTTAATGCAGTGGTTATTGCAGTACACTTAATACAGTGATTATTGCAGTACAGTTTAATAAAGTGGTTATTGTAGTACACTTAATACAGGGATTATTGCAGTACACTTAATACAGGGATTATTGCAGTACAGTTTATACAAGTATTAATATTAAGGAATGTGTAAATGGACTGGATGTGATGCTAGATGTGAAGAAATAACGGACTTTATCAAACATTTACAGGTAAAATCTTGGTTACTTACAAGAACAGCTGATTATTTACAAGAGCAGCTGATTATTTACAAGAGCAGCTGATTATTTACAAGAGCAGCTGATTATTTACAAGAGCAGCTGATTATTTATAAGAGCAGCTGATTATTTATAAGAGCAGCTGATTATTTGCAAGAGAATCTGATTAGTTACAAGAGCAGCTGATTATTTACAAGAGCATCTGATTATTTAGAAGAGCATCTGATTATGTACATGATCAGCTGATTATGTACGAGAGAACAAAATTGAAAATAATTTCGATTTTGAAAAAAATCTTTGAAATCAGCCAATAAAAACAGGAAAATCTTCAAAAATTTGAAGTCTTGTTATTCTTTTCAAATGTGTTAAGGATAGGATAAATCAGTAAGAAAAATATAGGCTTATTGCTAGAAAAAGGAGCGCGAAGCTCCAAGTAGCCCTGCTTTTTACGCATAATTACGTATGTTTGAATGATTGATTGATTGATAAACAGAAGGCCTTTTCTTGCAGTATTGTAAACATGTCCAGGCATACAGATCCAACATTTACTCACAAATACAAAGTCCAAATTGCTCAAATATTTCTGTACTCTAAAGGTAAAAAAATTTTCGTCAAAAATTTGCATTTAAGAAATTTTATTAGCGTTCCATTTTGTACTTTCTAAATGATTTTATTTTTTTATTTTTTTTTATTTCAACCCCCTTAGCTCCACTTTACCTGGCAGAGAGGTTTTTGCAGTGCAAACTGCTTACTTGATTCTGTAAACTGTGCACCTAAACAAACAGAAACTATTCTAAACATAGATCAATGTATTGATTGATTCATGAATAGTTGAATCAATACATAAGAATTGTGAAAATAAAACAGTTTTCAAATTTATCAATTAATCGATATTAAATAATAAATTAAGATTATGTACTGTTTTATGTACAGGTTTAAAATATACTGGACGACTAAACTGCTGCACAAGCTTGTGTACAAATACTAAATATTATTATCTACTGTTTTATGTACAGGTTGAGCATGTACTAGACGACAAGAGTACTGCACAGGCTCGTGTAAAAATAGTAAATATTATTATGTACTGTTTTATGTACAGATTGAGCATGTACTAGACGACAAGAGTACTGCACAGGCTCGTGTACAAATAGTAAATATTATTATGTACTGTTTTATGTACAGGTTGAGCATGTACTAGACGACAAGAGTACTGCACAGGCTCGTGTACAAATGCAGATCGTGTCACAACTAGAACTACAGCTGCAGAAGGTAAGATTTAAAAGGCAAATATCTAGAAAATTAAAAAGGAGCCTTTTTATTATTTATCAGTTCGGGGCTTCAGGAGAATTCATTTGAGTTGTATAATTGGCATGCCTCGGATCTCACCCTGCCACAGATCACCTGACAATCTCCAACCTTCCAATCAAGTCCTTACCTATCCAAAAACATAATTTGATCTGTATAACCATAATCGTTAACTAGTTTAGGGCCAACCAGTCAAAACAACCTACCCTGGTTAGGCGGGTCAAAACTGAATAGTAAATTGTGATTGCTTATTTGTAATATCTCATGCTTTATAGTTGAATCAAAATATGAATGAATATTGGCATAACTGTGTTAATAGTCCTGAAAATGGAATATTTTGAATAATACAAAATAGGTAAACAGCCCTTTTACGGGACTGTAAGCATAATTACAAATGCCCCTTCTTGCAAAGATGGCAATATCCGATTGACAACGGTACCCTCAAAAGATATCAATGTTTATAATTTAAAAAAACTGATTATTAATCAATTGTGGTTTCTCTACAAAAGTGACTTTCGCATTTCTATTGTTATAGGAAAACATTAAATCAGATTAAAACCTTTTTAAACTGAGAAAAACGACTATATCGTCCACATTTTTAATCAGATAGAAGTTTTAAGGGTTCCGAAGTGAATAAGGCATTGCCATATTTGCATGGAGGGTCACTTGAAATTACTCGTACATTTCCAGGAGAGAGAAAGGCTACAGGCAATGATGACCCACCTCCATCTGAACAAGAAGAGACAGGAGGAGAGGAGGATGCAGGAGGAGCAGAAGGAGATCTCCAGATCTCCGGAACCTATGCAACCTCAGGCCAGCCTCCAGAAACCTATGGGATTCGGTCCTCCGATGCCAAACATGGGATTCCCTCCGAACCTCGGAGGCATGCCTGGTTTCCCTGGTGCTAGACCTCCTGGTTTCAGGTCGGCTAATCAAATTCAAAAAATGAAAAAATAAACAACTATTTTTATTTCTGTTCACCTTTTGTTTTGTAGATTTAAGAGGGAAAAGTGAGACTTCTTATTCTTAGATTTTTGAACTAATTGCAAAATTACAGATTACAGATTCCTTAGATCATTACAGAATTATAAGAGTATTTCACGCACCTCTGCCCCTTTAGTAAAAGTAAATTCAACCTATATGAAGCATAAAGTGAGACCGCGTCAACCTTGTTGCACTGGCTAGTTTTGTTCATAGAGCTAGGCACAGTACAAACTTGAACCGGAAAGATTGACCCGGCTCGGAAATTCAAATGTACTACGGCTGCCCGTGATTAGATTGTCATTAAATTCTTAAAACATTTCTCACAAAAGGTGAAATTAATGTTTTTCTCTTCTTCTAGTTTTCTTCCTCCTGGTGCCGGCAATCAAGGTATGGGATCAGGTCCAATTAGAAGAAGAATCACTGATAAGAACCCTATCTCTCTTCCTTCAGGTTCATAGAGTGATTTTTGTATGAATACGACATTTAAGCAATCTTTGCGTATTTGATGTTGTTGCAAAGCAAATATTTTACCAGTATATACACTTAATAAATCAAAAAATTAATTAAAGATTTTTAGCTAAGGAAGGAACTGAATAGTTGTAACAAACTCTTATTTTATAATCCCTATATCTTTGCAACCTGATTGTGTCTAAACCTTTGATATTTCAAACTAAAACCTTACGATGTAATAGAATTCAAAGCTTTAAATATCAGAAACCATGAAATCAAGTTGCTAGGGTTTAAGGATTAGAAAATTATAATTTATAATTTATCAAACATACGATATTGTTTATACAATTTTTATAATTTTTCATGATATTATTTTTTATTTAGGGTTTCCATACATGTTTGATAGAACTGGACTTGATATAGCCCAAGGTAAGAAAAAAGTAGAGATTAAGTTTTTCAATTCTGATATTTCAATATTCTCTGTAAGGAGATTACACTGTCTCAATCGTGTTTATACAGAAATCTATATGTTTTATACATAAAATCTTTCAGCTTTTAAAAGTTTATTCAAATCAGTTCAAAAATTTGAAAGGAAATGTTTTATTTTCAAATTCTATGTAAGTTTGCATAAGCTAGAGTAAACAAATGCTATACTTACATTAATTTCATATTTTGTGCAAATATTCCATATTTACATGTAAAGCAAACAATGTTGCAGGCATAGTTATTATTTCTATTTTCCTCTACAGAAAATACGCAACTTTCTTTTTTACAGAAATCCACAGAAATCGTGAGTTTTATCGAACCCACGATGTTAGACCTCCTTTCACATACGCGTCTCTTATTAGACAGGTTAGTTTTGCATGGGGGAGGGCATAATCATTCCTGCAAAAAAATTGGAAGAAAGGCAAGTTAACTTAAAAAAAGTTGAAGATCTAAGTTAAAAATAGTAAACGTAAAAAAATTTATAATGCTTTATCCTGTATGTGTAATTTTGGGTTTTTATATAATTATGAAATATTTTTGTTTAAGTAAAACTCTTCATTTTGAAATATAGTAATTTTGAACAAAATGAAACCCTTCAACAAAAGTTAACCTTTTCCGTTTTTCAATATAGTTTAAAGAATTGTTAATTTATGTTTTTTTTCTCTTGAAGATTAGTAATTAAAAAATGGGGGTTAGGACTTTTTTTTACATTTTACTATGACATATTAGACAGTTCTAGAACTAGTTTATCTTGAACACACCATATTTAGTAAATAATGATTGCTCAGTAGCCCGCCTAACATGCTGAGGAAAGTAGATTACTTCACGCAAATCTGACCCTTTAGTAAAAGTAAATTCAACCTATATGAAGTATAAAGTCTGACCGCGTCAACCTTGTTGCACCGGCTAGTCCTGTCAATAGAGCTAGGTTCAGTACAAACTGGGAACGGAAAGGTTGACCCGGCTCGGAAATTCAAATGTACTAAGGCTGCCCATGACTTGTTGTGTTCTGTTTACGAGCTGTCCGAATATGTTACAGTAAAATATAAAAAAATAGATCCTCCTTTCTTTAATACCTTTTAATTATTTTTGTTTTAAGTTTATATTATATTAAACTCGAAGACCTTTTGCTTTTCAAAGAAGGGTTGATTAAAGTAAAAAGAGTAAAAAAGCCAGCGTATCCCCTTTTTTCAGTCAATTGTGGAGTCCCCGTATAAACAGTTGACTCTGCATGAAATCTATGCTTGGTTTACAACATCCTTCATGTTTTTTAGAAGGAATCATGCTAGCTGGAAGGTATAGTAGTTTTCATCCTAAACTTATATAACGTAGACAAGGATTTCATGGAGGGTCAACTGTTAAACCCCCCCTCTACAACATTCCTCCACTGCAGAGATATCTATTCTTAACGATTTCAGTCAATTATGGAGGTTCCGGAAAAGCAGTTGACTCTCCATGGAATATATGACTGGTTTACGTCCACATTTGCGTATTTCAGAAGAAACTTGAAAAGTTGGAAGGTAAGATGCGCGCGCTTTTTATGGTCTTAATGAAGAAAAAAAACTCTTGCTAGCATGATTCATGGTCAATGGCAACCCTAATTTTATGCGCGTCAAGGAGCTTCTATTTTTTCAAAAGCAAAAGGTCTTCCTTAATTCCCACGAGGATACTTACGTACCGTCCTGCACATATAGGCAATCATAGAAGCTCCCAGAAAACAACTGACTCTTCATGAGATCTACACGTGGTTCACAGCTGTATTCTGCTATTTCCGTAGAAATTCAGCCAGCTGGAAGGTAACTTGAAATTCAAGTTCTCTTGGCCCATTTACCCTCCGGTCCATGGTCCATTTTCAAGATTCTACGCTGGGTCCAGTTTTTGAAACATGTTGGCAAAGTCTTTTGGCATAACTTTCAAGTGATCAAATTTAAAACCACGGGTTTAAAATGTTATATCTAAACAATTAGATCCAATAGCCACAATTGTTAAAAACGTCCTGGGTCCTTGTTTCACAAACTGAGACTCCTTAATTGTTTTTGTTTTTATTGATAATTTTATCTGAAAATTCAAGTTATTTAATTGATTATAACTTTCCTTTGTACTTGTTAAGAATGTATTACAATGATCGGTCTATAAATATAATTAAGACAATTCTCTAGTCATACAAAGTAGACATTACAAAGATTAAACAGATAGAACAAAAACTGAAGTAATTCGGTTAAAAGTGACTTATAGATGTCACCCTTCATTTAAAAGAGTGACATGTCGGATTGACAACAGTACAATTTGATCTTTATGTGAGTATATAGCTTGGGAACTCAGAGTATTTATATAGTTAATCCCGCCGTTTACCCGCACATGAACGATTTTAACGGGAAACTAAATTTTCTCTATAAAAGTTGACTCACTAAACTTAGAATCTTAAAATCAAGCTAAGAAAACTTCTTCATTGTTTCTGAATCATAAATCCAAAATTATCGATTTTTAGCGATAAATCTAAGGATATCTCATTTGTTTTTTACCAGTGAAAGGTTTAAAGTATACCTTTGCCAGTGTTTAGAGGAGGGTTACTTTAAATTACGTGTGCAGTCTCTTTTAAGTACACATTGTTTTCTTTAAGAAAGATTTTTGAATCTAACTAAATCAAACATACGTAAAACATCAATTTAACGTTTTATTCAATTGCCAGTAACGAGCAGCAGTTTTGTATAACTACATACAGTAATATCACCAACAAACAGTGGAATTAAAGCTATCTTCGTTCTCTTCAAAGATTGAAAATACCACTGACCACATCGAATTTGTAATTTGTAACAGATACAAATAAAAAATAAAAAATCCGTAAGTGATAGTTCTAATTCACAAAAAGGACAAATAAGACAGTTATTCCACTGTTTCTAATTAGGGTGTAATGTAATCTTATTATCATTAAAGATAGGGTAAGTATAGCCGGATAACTTAAACATTACAATATACCATTTTATCATAAAAATCTTATTTTTAAAATACAACATTTTTCATCAAAAACACGTGAAAATAGTAAATTTCCCCTTTACTTAAGTTTGTATCTTTGACCTGTATTACGAAATTTTGTGATTGAAAAGATAAAATTGATTAAACATTTTGTATTTTTTGAATAGAGTAAATTCCAATATTGGTTTTTAAATTGACATTTAAGCAGTGTTTTGTTAGGTTTACAATATATGTATACAGATATAGATATCTATAGCTACAATAGGGTTGACCAAAATGCTCCTCTTTATGTGGAAAATACGCTTACACAGTTCTTTTTAACTTAATCAGTTTTTATTGGGGGTGTAGGTTAAGAATTGTATGAATATTTTTGTATATATTTGATGTTTACATTTTCACAAAAAGAGCATTATTATTAACTTTGCGTCTCGTCTCGTGCATTGCCTGACATTCTGAAGTATGTATACTGTGTAGGATCTTTTTAAATTTACAATTTGTATTTAAATTTGCAATTTACATTTTGTATGATAAAAAAGTCCAGCTGTTAAATAGGAAATCGGATATTATAAAGTGTATTATTGAGTTCGTTGTAACTTGTACCTTACAAATACAGTTTTACAACTCTTTGCTATTTTCTGGATTATGCTTGCAAGGAGTACTTGCCTACTGCCACGTACACTGTACATTGTACAGTTTATTCACAGCTCGGTACTTGCCGTACTGCCATGTACAGTAAATCACAGCTCGGTACTTGCCTTACTGCCATGTACAGTGTATACACAGCTCGGTACTTGCCGTACTGCCATGTACAGTGTATACACAGCTCGGTACTTGCCTTACTGCCATTTACAGTGTATACACAGCTCTAGGTACTTGCCTTACTGCCACGTACAGTGTATACACAGCTCGGTACTTGTCGTATTGCCACGTACAGTGTATACACAGCTAGGTACTTGAATTACTGCCACGTACAATATATACACAGCGCGGTACTTGCCGTACTGCCATGTAAGTGTATACACAGCTAGGTACTTGCCTTACTGCCATGTATAGTGTATACACAGCTAGGTACTTGCCTTACTGCCATGTACAGTGTATACACAGCTCGGTACTTGCCGTACTGCCATGTACAGTGTATACACAGCTCGGTACTTGCCGTACTGCCATGTACAGTGTATGCACAGCTCGGTACTTGCCGTACTGCCACGTACAGTATATACACAGCTGGGTACTTACTGTACTGCCACATACACAGCTGGTTTCTGTACATTTCAAGACGGCAAGGGTTCACTATCTCTCCTTGAATTTCTCCTTAAAGTTTAGAGTCCAAAAGAATAAAGTCTCTAATTTAAAAGGCGGATTGGTAAGTTTGGCACTATTTCTACATGGATTCAGGGATCAAGATTCTTTGCAATTAAACATATTTTGTTAGGAGAGTACCTGGAATTTATTTGGAAAATTTCCCATTATAAAAAAACTATATTGCCATAACCTCCTTAAAAAAACGCGACCCATAAATTTTAATGGTCTAATATAGATATTGTCTCACAGCTCAGTTAAGCTCAGTATTTGTAACTAGATAGAAATTAAATCCTTCCTGGAATGTCTCGGGGGTTCATTTTAGATTTTAAGTTGGGGAAATATTGAACTATGTATTTTTGACTGATTTGAATATTGATTTTGATTTTAAATATATTTAAAATAAGTTGGATGGTTTTCATTTCCACTGAACATTCCAGATTCAAACACAAAAACAGGATAATTTATGTTTTGAAAACATTGGAATCATTTCTTTTTTATTTCGTAAAGATACATTTTTAAAAGTATATTAGTAGAAATGTGCATGTTGTTTGTTTATGGTAAGTATTTGAGCCATTGTTAATTTCCAGTATTCGGCAATACAGAGAGTTTTGAAAGAACATTAAATTTTAGACTTGGAATATCAAGGGTTTTTAGGATCCCTTGTTACTCTCAAACTAATTAATTTAAAAGGCCTGTCAGCATAATGTTAAGTGACCCATCATGCAAAAATGGCTATTTCCGATTCACAATGGTATCTTTGATACCTTTATCTGATCTATAATGTGGAGAATATTGTCGTTTTTATATAGGCCTAGAAGTGTTTAATTTAAATAATTGCCATGTTTTACTGCAGTAGAAATGCGGGAGTGCCTTTTGTAGAGAAACCCCAATTGAAATTACGCTTACAGTCCTTTTAAGAAGTTGAAAGGCATGCTGTAGGAATAGTATCAGATAACTGGTTTGTTAGATTTAGACAACTTGATATTCATGTATACTTCGTATTTTCTACGGTTTAATTAACTGTACAAAGCAGAGCGCAAATTTGATTACTATGGATTTGAGAATTAGATTTAGGAATGTTTAAATATTATTGGAATAAACGATTTTTTTAGATTTTGATGAATCAACGTTTTTCAATTGAAAAGTGCTGATCAGACATCTGTAGTAGCTCTAATGGAATGCTAAAATTGTTAAAAGCATAAATATGACAGATTATGGCGGCTGGCGGGAAAAAATGGAACAATTGCATGGAACAGAAATTTATGTTATTTTTTTAATCCGCCATTTTTTCCCCGCCATATTGCCACTTATTTCATGAAGACGACTTGGCTTAAATGTATGTTAGACTTGCTTCTAGTTAAATGTTTATTTTTCTATAGAACGCTGTGAGACACAACCTTTCTCTGCATAAATGCTTTATGCGGGTAGAGAATGTAAAAGGTGCGGTGTGGACCGTTGATGAAGTTGAATACCATCGCCGCCGTCCACAACGGGGCTGTTCATCAGGGTAAGCCGGTGCATGGGGTTCATGCAGTCCCTCCCTTGCTCCACCTTGGTTCAACGAGAGTTGCCTCACCCCCCTCTCTGCATGGGGCTATGGGAATTTTCACGACACAATTATTTCTCTTTTCGCACAAAATATCATAAATGTGTTTTAGAGTGCATTGGGTCTTCTGGATTTTTAGGTACTTCCCTGCTAAATATTTTTCAAGGGATACTTCCTAATTTACTTCTCTATTATTACTTTTTTCTTTTTGGAACTTTTTCTTTAATTGAAGTGTATTTTTCCTAAAGGAAATTATTCAACTGTGTACTTTTACATAACTGTATCTATGTATAGTTAGTATATCTAGGTATATTTTGAGACTGTATATCTACGTATATTTAGTATATTTAAAGGGACTGTAAGCTTATTTTAAGGAGGTGTTTTATTTTTGTAATAAATGTGTTTTAGAGTGCATTGGGTCTTCTGAACCATGCAAACTTCGGGGAGAAACTTCTACAGAATAATAATAATCTACCAGATGTCAGGTTTTATATAAGATAAAAAATATATACTATTCTACCCTGCATAATATATATATATTTGTATACCTACTAATCTTATATATCCGGTGTGTGTGTATATATACTAACTTAAATCTCTAAGTTTTAGTTTAATATGATCTAATAAATTATGAATTATTACAGCTTGATCTACCCTATATTATACCATGTGAAGTCCTTGTGTAAAATCTACCAGAAATCAACTAATGTGCATGAAAACTCCAGAAAACATAAATTAAATCTAACTTATCAATCTATCCATTGAGTCGTGAGTTTAAACTGATAAACGAAGACCGAGCAGTATTATTCTGACTTAAGTCTGAAAAACTCTGTACTTAGTTTAAAGTTTAGCAGTATAAACTCCCCCTCAGCTTGCAACTTGTCCTTTTCGCTATATTGCAGTGAAAAGATTAAAGAAAAGTTAGGACCAAGTTTAAACAATTTCTCAGAATTTTCATAAATTTCTCGCTTCACCTGGGTCCTACCTTTTCTTATTGTAAATATGTCCACTGTTGTTAAATTGTTTTAAACTTAATATATTTCCGAACATCTAACTTATACCTTCTTTCCCTTTTCTTTTGCACCCTGAAGAACGCAATCCGCACCAACCTGTCGTTGCACAAGTGCTTTGTACGCTACGAAGACGACTTTGGAAGTTTCTGGATGGTCGATGACGCGGAATTCATAAAGCGACGTCATCTCTCACGTGGGCGGCCAAGGAAGTATGAGCCGGGTCCAATGATGCAAAAGCCGACGGACGAGCAGTAAGCTTATTAGTTAATTGCATTGAAAGTACGTAATGTGAATATTTCGGCACAATTTGATACCTTCAAAATGTTAAAATGGAGTCTCCAGGGGTTTTCTTAATTTAAAAAAATCGGGAGCGGACATTTTAAGAGGATATTTAACGATGCAACACAACTAAATGGTTTAGAATGTAAAATATACCTGGACATTCCTAAATAAAAGTTTTATTAAAAACTTTGCCTCATTATTCACACTTTGCCAAGTTTCTTCAAATCTTAGAGTAATTTCATTTCTGCCGTATTTGCTTGAAAAAAAATGATTGCCAACAACAACAATTTCAACGTCGTGGCTTCTGCAACCATCGGGACCTGGGGGATTATCGTTTTCTGTTTCTAGAATAGGATTAAACATTGCTTTTTTTAAAAAGTTGTTATTATCCAACTAGGACCGGACACTATGTAGTGCTTTAAATTTTAACTTTTAGAAAATGTTTAGAAGCTTATTATTTTAATCAAAAGCTAATTAAATATTTTGACATGCATTCGAATTAAATTAACAGAAGAGAATAGCATTTTGTTAAAACTGATAAATTCAAATAAAGATTTTTTAATTCTTTCATATCAAATTGCAAATGATAAAATTTACGATATGGAATTAAAAATAATTGGTAGTAAAATACACATTTGTTTTACTAATCAATATTGGTATAAAAGTATATAAAAAGCATGCTTTATTTGTTTGTGTTTCATGATAACTTTTGCATGAGTTAGGTTTGGTTGTGTAAACTGTCTCGGGAGTAAAAATATGCAGACCCTGCTTTTTATTTGAACAAAAATTTGAATTTAGAAATTATTGATTTTTGGAAAAAAGTTTTAATATCATAATATAAAAAAGTCGTTAAAACTATTCGTGTACTTTATGCCTTATTTGTTCTTCAATTCTAAACAGCAAACAATCTTTTTTATACAACGGAGTGAAAAGCATGCAAATCTACCCAACATTATGTACATATATATATTTAAATGTACAAATTAACTAGTTATTTTTTACATAGATCTAGGTAGCTCTATACTTAATAAACACACGTCGGAAAACTCATATTAGAACTTGAATGAGTAAGTGTAAGACAAACAAATACATTTACATACACATTCAAATAATTAAGTTCTAAGCTGGGTCATCTGGATGTTTAACAAATATTCAACCCTTGGGAGCTGAAAGTTTGCTCTTCAAAATGCTATTTTCAATTCCATTAAAAAATGATAGATTTCAGCTTCGAAGTTTTAACTTCTAAACACAGAGAATGCCGTGGTTGAAAGATGATAAATGAATAAATTATTATTACAGGAATGTTCAAACTAAAAGTCCCACGTTGAACCAACACGGACTAAACTCTCCACCCTTCTCTGATACTATCAACAACAGTTTAAAGGTAAGGAAACAACATTGGACCAAAGGTAAGAAAACAACATTGGACCAAAGGTAAGGAAACAGCATCGGACCAAAGGTAAGAAAACAACATTGGACCAAAGGTAGGGAAACAACATTGGGCCAAAGGTAGGGAAACAACATTGGTTCAAAGGGACGTAGACGTAAGTTTAAGTGACCCTCCATTGAACAAGTGACATTTCATATTCACCATTGTACTCTTTATACCTATAATACCTCTATCTGAGTAGCAATGAGGAAGATTTTATCTCAAAATGTGTTACAATCTGACCATTTCCTTCATTGTATCTCTATATCAAGCCACATTAGTAAAAAACACAATTTAAAAAATTGAGTTTTGAAGAGAAAAAAAGAAGAATATCTCATTCATCACTTGAAATTAAGTTTATAGTTCCTTCAGAAGAAAGAGATTTGCTTCAAGTGAAGAAGACATTGCCCGATTCACAAATAAGTTAGATTTTAATGTTATAGTTTTAAGATTTTTAGGCCTCCGTAATATCTTTATTTTAGCAATAGTTCTTTTTCGGAAAATCTCAATCTTATTTTTTATAGAAAAATGTTTTTAATATTTTGTATGATGGTCCAAGTTTGAGTATGTTTATATGATGCTCCAAGTTTGAGTATGTTTATTTAATGCTCCAGGTTTGAGAATGTTTTTATGATACTCCAAGTTTGAGTATGTTTATATGATGCTCCAGGTTTCAGTATGTTTATATGATGCTCCAGGTTTGAATATGTTTATATGATGCTCCAGGTTTGAGTATGTTTACATGATGCTCCAGGTTTGAGTATTTTTATATGATACTCCAGGTTTGAGTATGTTTATATGATACTCCAGGTTTGAGTATGTTTATATAATGCTCCAGGTTTGAGTATGTTTATATGATACTCCAGGTTTGAGTATGTTTATATGATGCTCCAGGTTTGAGTATGTTTATATGATGCTCCAGGTTTGAGTATGTTTATTTAATGCTCCAGGTTTGAGAATGTTTATATGATACTCCAGGTTTGAGAATGTTTATATGATACTCCAGGTTTGAGAATGTTTATATGATACTCCAGGTTTGAGTATGTTTACATGATGCTCCAAGTTTGAGTATGTTTATATAATGCTCCAGGTTTGAGTATGTTTATTTGATGCTCCAGGTTTGAGAATTTTATATAATACTCCAAGTTTGAGTATGTTTACATGATGCTCCAAGTTTGAGTATGTTTACATGATGCTCCAAGTTTGAGTATGTTTATATAATGCTCCAGGTTTGAGTATGTTTATATGATACTCCAGGTTTGAGAATTTTTATATATTACTTCAAGTTTGAGTATGTTTATATGATGCTCCAGGTTTGAGTATGTTATATGATGCTCTAAGTTTGAGTATGTTTATATGATGCTCCAGGTTTGAGTATGTTTACATGATACTCCAGGTTTGAGTATGTTTATATGATACTTCAGGTTTGAGTATTTTTTCTAATACTTCAAGTTTGAGTATGTTTATATGATGCTCCAGGTTTGAGTATGTTTATATGATACTCCAGGTTTGAGTATGTTTATATGATACTTCAGGTTTGAGTATGTTTATATGATGCTCCAGGTTTGAGTATGTTTACATGATATTCCAGGTTTGAGTATGTTTATATGATACTTCAGGTTTGAGTATTTTTATATAATACTTCAAGTTTGAGTATGTTTATATGATGCTCCAGGTTTGAGTATGTTTACATGATACTCCAGGTTTGAGTATGTTTATATGATACTTCAGGTTTGAGTATTTTTTCTAATACTTCAAGTTTGAGTATGTTTATNTAATAATAATAATAATACTATTTCTAGAAATTCCAGTTTTGAATCTCTACGAGGTCGATATTTCCCTGGACCTGAACCCCTTGATACTGATCTTCTTCTTAAACATATGGCAGGAGAACAGGAGCAGTTCAACCTGCACCTTAGACAGGAGGTTGAGCAGGGGGCAGAACCTAGGTAAACCTACTCAATATGCATCTATCTATACAATAAAACGTGTCCAGCACACATCTTGATATACTAATTTTTTCCGTCTCAAATTCTTAAGATCATAGTTTAATACAAAGCGCGGGTAAACGGCTGGAGTTACAATGACTATGAATAAAAATATAATCCTGGGCAACGCCGGGTTCCCAAACTAGTTTACAGTAAAACCGGTTTTCTGACAAAACGCGTTGATTACTAGTTTATCTGAAGTAATATTCTATCCACAAGAAACAAAATAAACTAAGATTTGAATTTTGAAAATGCTGGTTTTAGTGTTGAAGCTTAAAACAACCAAGTTTGAAATCTGTTAAATTTTAGGCACTTTAGGCTAAAAATTGTCAAAAAAACCGATATTTTCTTTATTACACTTCTCCCCTTAAACTACCACTGTTAGGTGCATGAATGAATGAGATATTCTAGTTTTTTTTTAGCAAAAACTGATCATTTTCCCGTATTGTTTCTGTGTAACAGTGAATTGCGCATTCCTGCAACAGAAATGAATGAGTTTTCTGATTCCAAATTTTTCAAGATAGGAAAAGGACTAAGGACTAAGGTTGTAATGTTGTCTATCTAGGTATATTTTAGGTTGTATATTTAGGTAAATTTAATGTTGTCTATCTAGGTATATTTGAGGTTGTATATTTAGGTAAATTTAATGTTGTCTATCTAGGTATATTTGAGGTTGTATATTTAGGTAAATTTAATGTTGTCTATCTAGGTATATTTGAGGTTGTATATTTAGGTAAATTTAATGTTGTCTATCTAGGTATATTTTAGGTTGTATATTTAGGTAAATTTAATGTTGTCTATCTAGGTATATTTTAGGTTGTATATTTAGGTAAATTTAATGTTGTCTATCTAGGTATATTTTAGGTTGTATATTTAGGTAAATTTAATGTTGTCTATCTAGGTATATTTTAGGTTGTATATTTAGGTAAATTTAATGTTGTCTATCTAGGTANTTACGGCAAGGAAGGAAAGGGAAATCAGTCATAAATGGGTTACGGCAAGGAAGGAAGGGGGGAGCAGTCATAAATGAGTTAAAGCAAGGAAAGAAGGGAGCTCACTTATCAATGGGTTATGGCAAGGAAGGAAGGGAGCTCACTTATCAATGGGTTATGGCAAGGAAGGAAGGGAGCTCACTTATCAATGGGTTACGGCAAGGAAGGAAGGGGAAATCAGTCATAAATGGGTTAATGGGTTAATGAATAGTTATCATATTTTAAACTTTTTTTTTCAGGAGAAAGGAGGAGAGTCGGCGCTCAGGATCTTTCCATGATTCATCGGAATATCAAGAATGAAGACGACCCTGAACATTAATGTGTGCAGTACAGCACAGCTGATTCTATAACAGTACAGTACAATCGAACATTAGTCTGTACACCTACTGAAAATTATCTTAACACTGTACAGCATATCTGACATTACCCAGCACACAGTTTAAATGACTGTACAGTGTATAGTGTTCAGATTACTGCACAGCACTCTACCTTGAAGTACACTGTACAGCATGCTGCCAAGCAGTACATTCTTCTGTACAAAACCCCCTTTTGCAGTACACCAAATGTGTACTCATGTTGTACACACTGATTTACCAATATAGAAATTAGCTAAATTTTTCGAGAATCTCGCTCTAGTTTTGATTCGTACTCTCATTCATGTACAATGTACAACTGTTATAGCTAAATGTAACGTAGGTACATAAATACATGTTCTGGTACATATGTTGTAGAACAATGTTTTATTTACACTAAGCTAAAAGTAAATATATGTTTTCAAATAGGTTTTATACTAAATTACAATATTCATCCCAAACTCTAAGCTAGGTTTGAAATTTTGCATTTGGATAGTATCCTAGTACCCCCCACTAGCAATCCGGTGACTCTTCAATGTGAATTCCTACAGCTAAAAAGTTGTCATATTTATGTTTAAAAAATAACATTTTTTACCAGATATAATTTCTGAATACCTTATCTAAATCGTAGGTTGTAAATTGTAAATAAATAGGGTTTTTGTTAATAATTCTTACTTTGGATTTTTTTTATGAATATTAAGTAAACTAATTCACCATGGCACTTCTAGGAACATTTTTAGATCAATTAAAAAAATAAAAGCACGGAGGACATTTTTAATTTTAGCAATTTTTTTTTGCACCCTTCCGATAAATTTTGTTAGTTTTATTACTGATCAATATTGTGATTTTTAATTGTTAATTATACATATGTTTAGTAAACAAATTTGTTTTCCAATTTTACCACAAGGTGTCTCTTCTGACAACCCCCCTCCCCTCACCCAACCATATACAGTTGTTAAAATTTATAATTTTCTGTGTTATGTAGAAAATGGAAATTTATAGAAAATAAATCTTTTAAAAGTCAAACATTTTATCTAATCAATAAATCATTTGTATTAATATGTATGAATGGAGACATTATCGAAACATTACAAGCATAAGTACCCGGCGTTGCCAGTGCACGCCAGTCTTCAGTTATCACCTTTTCCCCGTTTTATTAGTTAAAAAAATTTTCTCGGCAAAATCTAAACATTTAGCAAAGTCTCGAATATGTCATATGTTACATTTTTTAAATTCAGGTTTCATTACTCTTTTAGTGGTTTGGTATTGCCGGCGTACACAACATACACATACGTACATATCATCCACATACAATTTCTATATGCTCTGAGCTGAAAACTTTAGAATGGGATATCCTTAATCCGGATCTGTTAATTGATCTGGAGATTAATAACAATTGGAGAACAAGCATTATTCTATCTGGAGATTAAGAAAAAGTGTGGATCAAGCATTAATCCCGTTTACTCATCTTTTCCTTTCTCTTCCACTCTTCGTATTGTTTTATCCTTTCTTTCCTTTTTCCTTTCTTCTCATTTATATTTTCTTCTTCTTTATCCTTTCGTGTCTTCTATCCATTCTTCTCCTTTAACCTTTATTCTCCTTTACCTATTATTCTCATTCTTCCTTTCCTCTCCTTTACCATTTCTTCTCCTTTATCTATTATTTTCCTTTATCTATTATCCTCCTTTATCCTGTTTTCTCCTTTCTCCTTTCTTCTAGTTTATCCTTTCTTTTCTTTCATTTTTTCTCTTCCTTTATACTTTTACCATTCTTCTGCTTATTTCTTAATGGTTTTTACCATTTGGTAAAATTTCTTTTTATATTGCTTATCTTTAGAATTTTTCGTCAATATTTTGTACTTTTCTCTGAATATTTTGTATTTTTCTTTGAATATTTGATTTTTTCTCTGAGCGTAATATCTCCAATATTTTGGATTTATCTCCAATATTTTGGAATTATCTCCAATATTTTGGATATATCGCCAATATAATGGAATTATCTCCAATATTTTGGATTTATCTCCAATAGTTTGGAATTATCTCTAATATTTAGTTTTTTCTTCGATATTTTGGATTTTATCCATAATAATTTAGATATTTATTATCTTTAATGTTTTGATTATTTTTAATATATTGGTTTTTTTTCTTTAATATCTTGGATTTTATTTTGAAATTTTGGATTTTATCGTTAATATTTGGATTTTTCCTTCATATTTTGGATTTTATAATCTCCAATATTTGGATTTTATTCTCATTATTTTGGATTTTTTTCTTTGTTATTTGGAATTTTTCTTCAATATTTAGGATTTTATTCTCATTATTTTGGATTTTTTCTTGCTTTAATATGTTGGATTATATTTTCAATACTTTGGATTTTTTCTTCAATATTTTGGATTTTACCCTGAATATTTTGAATCTTATCTTTAATATTTTATCCCGACATGTGTTAGTTATCATTTTTACTTTTTGGATATTTAGAATTTAATATAGTGGTCATATGTCTGAGTTAGTATCACGTAACCACTAACCAGTATACTGCAATCTCATTGGTGGGAGTTCTTGTGACGTAATACGGACTTATAAATAATATTATCAATTATATCTATTAAAAATAAAAATCCTAAACTAAAATATTGGAGAAAACCTAAGTTGCAATTAGGTTTCTCTGGGATATCTTCGATTTCAGATTGGTTGCGTATTTGCTGAATATGATCTGTTTAAACCTTTTAAACTACTTCTTTACAAAATTGTATGAATTTTCGTATTTTAGTTTTTAACTAAACATTTTTTATTAAAAAAGAATTATACTAAACAAAATGTTTCACGCCATCATGACGATCCCCAGTAGATACAATTCTTTGAAACTCAAAGAATTGTAACTACTGAGGATCGTCATGATGGCGTAAAACATTAGGTTTAGTATAATTCTTTTTTTAATAAAAAATGTGAAGTTAAAAACTAAAATATAAATCTCGCTGGTATATATGGTGTCGAGAACTCTGCAGTCCTACACTTCTACAAAACTGTAATGAATTTTCGTATAAATTTAGCACAGTTTTATATCAATTTCTCGAGACAGGAACATCAGATATAACTTTCATGGGTCGCGATCAAGAGCTCACGGAGAGCCGTAGTACATTTGAATTTCCGAGCCGGGCCAACCTTTCCGTTCCCAGTTTGTACTGTATCTAGCTCTATGGACAGTACTAGCCGGTGCAACAAGGTTGACGCGGTCAGACTTTATACTTCTTATAGGTTGAATTTTCTTTAACTGAGGTAAAGTGATTAGCTTTCAGCCCTTATCCCCCTTTCATTTTTCCTTTACAGTCCCTTTAATTTTTAAATCGTCTGTACAAAGAG